CCCCGCGCCCCTGCCCGCCCTCCTCCCCGCACCCCTGCCCACCCGTCCACAAAAGGCCTGATATGCCAGGAGAGCAGGGTCAGTGGAAGAGACGTGAGCCTTGCTCAGGAGCTTCTAGAGGACAGCCATAACCACAGACGCCTATAATTCAGATGTGAGAAGCCTCATGAAGACAAAAAGGCTCCACAGAATTTACACTCGGGATAAGATAGGACAAACCGGGGTGATCAGAGGTTTTTCTAGCAAACTCTGAAGTCCAAGTTGGAGTAAAAGAGATAAGGCAGCCCAGGCCCCTGGCTCACACCTCTGATTCTTGTAATTCTGGCTACTCAGGAGGCCAAGATTGAAGGATCACAGCTCAAAGCCAGTAGAGGCAGGAAAGCCCAGGTGAGTCTTACCTCGGATTAATCAGTAAGAAAAAAGCCAATGGCTCATGTGGTAGAGCTTTGAGCACAAAAATCTCAGTGATAGCACCCAGCTCCTTAGTTCAAGCCCCAGTACTGGCACCAAAACCGAGGGGGGAGGGATTCCAGGTCTGACAGGTCTGTCTGTGGGAAGGACTAAAGGGATGAGCATTGGTGGTTGTGTCTTGATGCAGTAGAACAGTGTCCTAGTATGACAAGAGCACGTCATGCAGCCTGGAAGAGCACCGCGTGGTCCTTGGAGGAGAGAAACCCTGGATCTCAGCCTCTAACCTGATCCTTGGCTGTAGCCACTCCCAACAAAAGTCATAACAGGTAAGATGGAAGGGAGATTAGTTTTTTGTTTTTTTTTTTGTCAGTCGTGGGGCCTGACCTCTGGGCCTGGGTGCTGTGCCTCAGCTCTTCAGCTCCAGGCTAATGCTTTGCCACTTCAGGCTTTTGTGCTGAGGAATCGAACCCAGGGCCTCATGCATGCAAGGCAAGCACTCTACCACTGAGCCACCTTCCCAGCCCCAGGTGAGTACTTTTTAGTTCTAAAGAGAATTAGAAAGTTACACAAACAGAGGCTGGGAAGGTAGATTAGTGGTAGAGTGCTTGCCTCGCATGCATGAAGCCCTGGGTTTGGTTCCTCAATACCACATACACAGAAAAGCTGGAAGTGGTACTATGGCTCAAGTAGTGCTAGTCTTAAGCAAAAGCAAAAGTGCCCAGGCCCTGAATGCAAGCCCCAGGACTTGCATATAAAAATTAAAAAATAAAATTAAAAATGTTACATAGACAGTAGGATAGTTGGGGTGTGGGATGCAGAAGAAAATATCTGCCATCAAAGGAGAATTTTTTTTCAAGAAAATATAGACTCATAGCTTTAATATATACTTTATCAAATAAAAATCACATCATTGTTTTAGGCTAAACTCCTATACTGAGCCACACATTAAATAGGACTCATCAGGTTAAAGTCCCTCATTGTCAACCTGAGGCTGACTGATCTATGCTGGGGCACTCAGGAGGCCACCCAGAGCAACATGTTGAAGAAAGAAAGGGGAGAAGAAAAAGAGAAGGATGGATGGATCTGACTTTCTGAAAAATCAGGTCAGTTTCAAATTGAATGATGAAGCAGCACTCTCTGCTTTAATAAGCAACCTGAATAATCTAGTATTAACCGATCACTTCCTTCACTATTTTTGTCCTGGCACCATCCCCTTACATTGCTGGCCTGAAAAAGTAACTTTGAAATGCCTAATCTTGCTTTTTGTTGTTCTTTCAAGCCCTTCCATTTAAACAACCCCTGGGCCAGGTGCCAGTGGCTCATGCCTGAAATCCTAGCTACTCAGGAAGCTGAGATCTAAGGATCAAGGTTGAAGCTCGCCTAGGCAGGAAAGCTTATACTACTCTTATTTCCCATAAACTATCAAAAAAGCTGGAATTGGAGCTGTGGCTCAAGTGGTTGAGTGCTACCTTCCAGCATAAGAAGCTCAGAGACAGGGCCCAGGCCCTGAAGTTCAAGGCCCAGGAGGGCACCAGCAATGCTGAGGTAGGAGGAAGATGTAAGGCCTCTGATGTGCTGCTTGGATTATAAAGGGCAGGGTAGGAAGCACACTTAGCTAATCAGTCTCAGCCCAAGGTGTTTCTGGCTGATGATTAACTCAGACTGGTCCGCCCTGAGAAGCCATTTGCTGCCTAGGGGAGCACACTGGACGCTTGGCTTGTCACCAAGATGTCTCCCCCATCCCCCCTCAATGCTACGGAAGCGACCCAGTGTGGTAAAGACATGATGAAGTGGGTATCTTGCGGGGAGGCTTGGCCCTAGATTACCCCTGGCCCCTCATCCCACAACAGATCTCCTTGTAAAATGACCTGCTCAGTTCTCTCCCCAGCAAGGAGGCCCTGTGAAGATCAGGGCTTGCGCTGGAGGCCACCCCACTGTTTCTGGGAGAGGTGGCCCTGCTGATGCCTCAAATTTGAACTTGCCCTCAGGGAAGAAATGTGCCACAGCTCCCATGGCAGTGGGGTGGGCTCTCCTAGAGTTGTTTTTTTTGTTGTTTTGTTTTTTTGTCGGCTGTGGGGCTTGAACTCTGGGCCTGGGCGCTGTCCCTCAGCTCTTCAGCTCAAGGCAAGCGCTCTACCACTTGAGCTACAGCGCCATTTCCGGTTTTCTGGTGGTTTATTGGAGATAGGAATCTCACGGTCTTTCCTGCCCGGGCTGGCTTTGAACCGCGATCCTCAGATCTCAGCCTCCTGAGTAGCTAGGATTACAGGCGTGAGCCACCAGCACCCGGCGTAGAGTTGTTCTTCTGAGGGAGTCTGGCACCTGTATGCTATCCTGGGTATGACAGTCCCTTTGTCCTCTGGGAGGAGGGAACAGGTGGCCTCTGGGCTCTGCCTGTGGAGGAGAGAGCCGGCGGGGGGCAGGGGGCTTCCCGTTGTCAGTGCTGTGGGGTCCTGGGATTAGACTTGGGGAAAGCAAGGACAGGGAAGCCTGGGGCCAGGGTCTCCAGGCAAATGGGAGGGCCCTGCAGACCCTCCTTCCGCATCCATAGGGTCACGCCCGCTTGCTGTGTGGCTTCAGGAAAGGCCACATCCTTTCCGGCTTCTCCATTTCCGCCTGAGTAAACTGGAGCTATCAGCCCCCAGCAGGCTGCTGCCACCTCTCCTGCCAGCACTTCCAGGCACTTCCTGCATGCTGCGTCTTGGCTAATGCTCAGAAAGACACGGTGACTTTCCACTGTCACACAGCATCCACGTGCTTCTTCTAGAGCCTTTGTGCTCCGCAGGGGGAGGCAGCTGGCAGAGCCCCCCTCCCCACCTCGTCTCTGTGGGAAAGCAGGATGGCGGCTCCAGCGACCTGCTACCACTCAGTGGCTACCTGCACCACGCAGCCTCCCCCAACCTCTGCCACCAAAGGCTGGATCCTGACTGGGTGCATCTCTGATATGCAGGCTTGCAGGCTTGTGGGTGTCCGGCCCTGGGGAGAGGAAAGCGCTGGGAAACGGACATAAGCAGGTTCCGGCCTCAGAGGCCCCCACAGGCCAACATGAGCCCTGGGTTGAGTCAAGGTCACCTGGGTACTTGGGTAGCCTGGTTGGGTACTACGGGAGGCCCCTTCTGCCCTTGCCACACGGGGTGCTGGGTTGGGGCGGGGGGTGCGCTGGTCAGAGGCCGCCCTAGGACTGCCACTGCAGCTTCTGCTTTCCAGAGGACCCAGAGCAGACAAGGAGCAGTGCGGCCGCTTCGATACATTCCATTCCCACCTCAGTCTGGGCACGCTACACTGGCAGTGGAAAATGCTCCAGCACTTTATTGAAAGAAAGCAATAAATAATACTGTGATAAAAATAGTTCAAAAGTAGACTGTACATTACTTTGTTACATAGTTGAGAAGTTCACAAAAGATTAATAGAAAAACAGAATGGTAACAATGAATTATACAAGTGAATTAAAAGCAGAACAGATGTAAAAGGCATGCTGCCTCCATGTATCAGTTGCATAATAAATAACGCACCTCGATCTGACTCGTTTCCTGCTGGCTTTTTTAATTTGCCATTTAAAAAGTAAAGGTTACATTTGCTACTTGTACAATCCAAAATGGCTATACCATCAAAATCTAAAAATGTATGACTAGGTTCATTCTTGAAACATGTTAGAAACAAATGTAAAAAGATGATTTACATTAAGAAAAATAAGGCCTTTATTAGAGCTGCAGGGCGGGCTGTTGGGCCAGGCCTCCTGGCCCTGCTCTGCGCTCAAGTCCGTGAGATCACAGTGCAGTGCTCCGTGATTGGTCCTCAAGGAGAGGCTTTCCACCCTCAACTCCCCCTCCCCAGAGTGCGACTCCCTAGCTGGGGCTCTAATCTGAACCCAGGTCCAGGTCCAGAGGTGGGGCTGGAGAGGGGGAAGCAGGGCTTGGGGATGAGCTAGAGTTGTGACACTGCTCCAGGGCTGAGGGAAGGCCAGCATTCCTCTGGCATTCTGACACTAACAAGGTCCCAGGAGAAGCCGAGAGCCTGGTATAAACAGTACAGTCAGGCCAGCCATTTGAAGCCTGCCACACTGTCTGCAATGAGGCCTGCTCGTTTGGAAATGGTGGTTGCAGAGCTGGGTAAAGGGAACACGCACCACCAGGGTCCCGATGATTCGATGAACGCCGCCAAACTCTTTCCTCCGTCACGGTTTATCACGAAGAAATTATAGACAGTGGTAATCACAACGAATGCATCATTTACAAAACCCTCTATTTGTTCACAGGATTTATACATACAAGCATTACAGTACATTCGTTCCAAAAACTAAAATCAGATACAGGAACATGAATTTATTCAAAAGGATATTTATAGCCTGGATATACATGAAAAAGTAAGTAACTATATAAATGAAGAGCATAAGTTTACATAAATATAAGAAACATTAAATTCTAAAATATTTTCTCTATGATATTCATGAATTTTTCACTAATTTAAAAACTCTGTAATAAAATATCTTCAGGTCCATATAACAAGACTCCACTGGGTTAAACGCGGTCCTGCTGCAGAGTCACCTGTAGAAGTAGTGTGGGTAAACTGGAAAACAAGAATGAACAGAAAGTCACCTGCCACAGGCCCTTGGTCCCACACAGGTGCACAGCCCAGCCTACCCAGGCTGCCCACTCCCATTCAGGAGGAATCCCTGACAGGCTATACACAGAGAGAGGGTGGAGGGGGAGACGGGGAGGGGGAGGGAGAGAGAGACAGAGAGCGCCAACCCCAGATTCCAGCTAGGCCACGAACCCTGGGCAGAACAGGCAAAACTCTATCCAGGACTGAGCCTCTGCGGGGCACAGGCTCCAGACCAATGGACAGTGGCAGGTCAGGGTCACTAGAACCAGGCACAGCAATTGGGCTTTGTGTTTAAAAACCATCTGAACTGAAGGCTGTGAGTGTCACATGCTCAGATGTCACACGGCACACCACTACCCACCAAGCACCAGGGCTGCTTCACAGTGGACAAAGCTATCTCCATCCTGCTCCTGACCCTCCTCCCTGCCACACCTGGCCCAGACCCATCCCAGAGTTCCACAGACACACAGACACACAGAGTGAGCCAGCATTTTCAGAGTTAAGGAAAAACATGGAAATGTATCTTTCCCTTGAACTGATGCCACACTAAGCTCTTTATGATCAACAACAATACCAAAAGCACCCTACTGGGTGCTGAGAGCCAGTGGATCAAGATCTTCACGTTGGTGCTCTGGCCCCAGGTTCAGCATCTGGCCCACGCCAGCTGCAGCTCAGGACAAAGCCTACGGTTCCAGCTGTCTACTCACCGACAGGGCAGGAGCTCTAGCAGGAGTAAGTCCTGACTGTAGCAGAATCCAATCTCTGTGTCGCTGACACACTGCCTGTCTCCACCACCACGAGAGGAAGCGTGCAAACACAGCGTGCAGTTAGTCTTAAAACACAACAAAGGGCACAAGACACATCCCGCAACTCTGATGACAGGCGGGAGAGGGGGAGAGAGAGGGGCTGAGGGGAGGGTCTGCCCGGGGCACTGGCAGCTACTCCCAATGGCCAGGAGCACCAGAGGAGAGACTTCAGAATGACCCGTGCACAGGGACAACTACACAGGACAGCTGGTTCTGTGTTCGCTGCGTTTGCACACACAACTGGTCCTATCTGCACCTCCCAGATGGGAAACGAGAGGAGGGCCATCTGCTGGCGTTGGACAGGGTAGAGGGTAAAGAGGGGAGGCAGGCTGGCCAGGGCAGTGACTTCTCTTAGAAAACCCAAGCTCAGTGTTGATAAATAACCCAGGCTGAGTTTTTGGCTGAGCTGCAGGGAGGGCAGCCCCTGGAAAGGAGGGGGGGGCAGCTGCAGCATCTGTAGCCCAAGTTGCTGCACCAACCAGCTGCACAGCACCTGCGCTCCACATCCACAGGTGCGACATCCTGTCACCTTCTAGAAAAGACACCGAGGCAGCTGGCACTGGGCGTGATGACGGAGCGCATCTGGAAATCCTCCAAAGCCTAGGGCACCTTGGGAGGGCCCTTACCCTCCCCCTCACTGACGAAGCCAGTAAGATAACCATGTTCATGGGCCTTCATTACTAATGACAAAGGCTTTGGCCTAAGAAATTTACCCCCATATCCTTTTCTTTATTTGGGGATGGTCGTAGGGCTTGAAACTGGGGCCTGGGCCCTGCCTGTGAGTGCTTCTGCTCAAGGCTAGCACTCTACCACTGTGAGCCACAGCACCACTTCAGTTTTCTGGTGGTTAATTGGACAGAAGACTCTCAAGGACTTTCCTGTTGGGGCTGGCTTTGAACTGCGACCCTCAGATAGCCTCCAGAGCAGCTAGGGTTACAAGCATGAGCCATTGGCGCCAGGCGTGAGCCACTGGTGCCCCGCTTCCAGTTCTCAACAGAAGAACTAAACAAAAGGGCAGCAGAACAAGGCCCAGGCAGTCACATGTAACACTCATCAGTTACCTACAGGCTCCGTGAAACAATGCTGACTCTTCATTAAAAGGACGCTAGGTAGAAGACATACTGGGTTTTACTCAACTCAGGCAAAAGAGTTTGCTCTGTTTTTATATAGGACACTGCGAGCAAACCCTACTTATGAAAGAGACTAATGGCAGAGAAAAACCAGGCAACCCTTGCCTCAACTTTTAAACGCACACTGACTGGCGGCCCCAACGTGCTCGGCAGAGGGGAGGGGCAAGGGATTGCCAGGGGCCACGCGCCCACACCGACGTGGTCCAGACTTTCCCAGCTTCCTAACAGAATTTTGTGTAATCACCAAAACCACCCAGGACTACTCCAACGCGGTGACAGGCAGGGCACAGATGGGGAGACTGAGGCAGGGCAAAGCTGTTCCTAGTAGCTCCTAGAAGCACAGCCAGATTCAAACCTAGTCTGACTGGGGCTCCACAGTGCCTCTAAGCACAAAGCCGGAATGGAGATGCCGAGCCCAGGCCAATGTGGCCGCCACAGCGGATCCCTCAGTGCCCAGCCTCGCCAGCCTCGCTGAGCACCCAACAGGTCCCCAGTGTCCTCCCCGAGGCTCCAGCCTTCCTTCCCTGTCTCCCTCTAACAGGGACATGCATGGCTCCAGAGGGAAGGAAGACTGGAAGGGCAAAGCTCACGGAGGTGACAGTCCGATGGGCCACTCTGGAGAGATGACCTGTCACAAACATGGTCTCAGCCTGAGAGGAAACAGGCTCTGGCTCGGCCAGGGATTCAACGAGAAAAGAATTTTTAAAAACTCTGTTACTGTTAATCCTTAATAAACAAATGTTAGCGTTAATTTTCAAATGCATCTGGGCATGCACCCCGACTCAAATGCCCTGAACACACTTAGCAATCACTCTGAGTGACACCCACAGCGCCCACTCGCAGGGTGGGGTGACAGGGCCACCACATACCGTCCATCTGCATCTTCTTTGGCTGCATAGAGGGGGAAGACATGGAAGAAGTCACCCGGAAGTTTGCAGGCAGCGTCTCTGCAGACCCCGCGGCCAGGCCCCGGATATCCTTGGGTCGGAACTTTTTCCTCCAGGAAGGTGCCCTCCTGAAGCTCTTATCGTCGTCCTGGCAGGTGGAGAAAAGACTCACTTCATTTAAAGTACGAAAGACACGCCCACTACAGTCTGCTGCATAGGCATGTAACCCCTGCCTCCTGGGCCCACAACGCCCAGGCTAACAGAACTGGGTGGCCAACCATGAGGGGCAGGCTCACGAGAAAGACAAAGATGGTCCTGGTCACCTCGTGTGCTCCTACACACCATGGTCACACTGGCTTACAAAGTAACTTTTATGGGAAATAATACATTTTTATTTGTCTTCAGAGGTTTGAGACCTTTCCATCCGGTTGTTTGTGTCCTTACTTAACAGTACTGGGACTGGGGTCAGGGGCCTCACCAGGTGGGCTACCACAGGTCAGACCTTTTGGCTGAACTTCTTTGTCAGAAAGGGCCTCCAAGCTGACTTTGGTGCAGCTGCCTTAGACCATGATCATACCTCTGCCTCCTAAGCACTGGGATTATAGGCTATTGCTAACTATGCCCAGCCTTAACAATGGTTTCCAAGCTATAGGCAAACCCGCCTTCTCTCAGGACATTGTCAGCAAGTGCTATGTCTCTAGAGGTGGCTCTGATTCTCTCCGTCAGACACAACTTGTCTCAAGGCCCGACAAAAGTATGGTATGTTCCTTAATACTCTTGTGTGAACATCCACCTAAGCAAGGGGTTCTGGACTGGGGTGGATGTAGGCTAAAACATTTTTTAAGAGATTTTATTATTATTAAGGTGTTGTATAGATCTCTCTCTCTCTCTCTCTCTCGCTCTCATCTTGGGGACTGAACTCTGGACCTGGACACTGTTCCTGAGCTTCTTTTGCTCAAGGCTAGCACTCTACCAGTTGAGCCACAGTGCTACTTCAGGCTTTTTCTGCGTATGTGGTATTGAGGAATCAAACCCAGGGCTTCATGCATGCCAGGCAAGCACTCTATTGCTAAGCCACATTCCCAGCCCCAGCTGCAAACATTTTATGACGTAGAAATCACTTTTGAGGGATATGAAAAACTGGAGCTGGAGGTGTGACATGTGGTAGAGTGCCTGGCTGACAAATCAAGACCCAGAGCTGTCTCCCCAGTACCACAAAAAAATGAAATACAATCATCAGCAAGCAATTTCAGCCTTTGGGAGGCTGACATGGGTGGAACTACCAGCTGGAGGACTCTCTGGGCTATACAGTAAGGCTGTCTTATAAAAAAAAAAAAAAATTGTGCTGGTCCTAGGGCTTGAACTCAGGGCCTGGGCACTATCCCTGAGCCTTTTTGCTCAAGGCTAGAGCTCTACCACTTGCCCCACAGCTCCATATCCAGCTTATAGGCATTTAACTGGAGATGAGAGTCTCATGCTCTTTCCTGTCTTGACTGACTTCAAATCATCTTCAGATCAGATCTCAGCCTTCTAGGTAGCACCAGTTGAGTGAGAGAGAGAGAGAGAGAGAGAGAGA